CCTCCCTCATGTCTTTGTGATTACCTTTACTCAATTGTAATACCATTACATTTGATTCCAGCTTCTCCCTCTCAAACTGCACGGTAAATTCTATCACATTATCGCCACTGCGCCTTGGGGTTCCTTCATCTTAGCTCCCTAATCAAGTCTGCCTCATTACACATCAATATCAATTGCAGCAATACCACTCTCTGAACTCAAGCAAAACCAAGTCTTTCCCTTCTGAACCCAAAATAGAAATATAAATCAAATTTAACATAAAAGGGTTCTAACATCGAGAGAGCCACAAGTTTCTAAATAATAACATATCACAGGTCGAAAACTAAGCTGCAAAGGGCAAATAAGGAGACTTCAAAAAGAATATGGATAGCATCCTTGAAAAAAAGACGACATTTTGTTGAAGCTGTCCATCTTGTCCCCAAGCCAATTCATAATACCAATGCAAGAGGAAAACCAATATTCACAGCATAAAGGGTTAATTTTCCCCTTAATGTTATGCTTGCAAATTTGCCAGACGATGACAAAACAAAAAGCTTCAACAAAATGCAATACTTATGTTCTATACCACCAAACAACTACTTGGATGCAGATATTTTAAGTACTGGGCAAAGATGTATCCAAAAGGAGTATAATGAAGGAAGATGTGAAATTATCCATTGTTGCAGAATTATAAACATTTTCTAAATAATGAGAGATTGAATCAAACGTTAGTCTGCAGACACAGCAAGTAATTGCGAAATTAGTAATTGAGTAATTTAGTAGCATATTATTGTTTATTGCAAGAGGAATTGAACGCAAAAGGAGGTTATACTTCAGTTACAGCATACAGGTGAGATAACATCTGGGAGACATATAGAGCATTGGTCTCCTTATTGAAGGAAGAATATAAATGCATTGGAAGCAGTCCAGAGGGGATTTGCTACACTAATATGTGGGATGGGCATGCTGTCTTTAACAACTATTAGACAGGCTAGGCTTGCAGCCACTGCAGTTTTAGAATAGTAAGTGGTGGCTTGATTGGTAGACAAGATCTAAGGGAATTTGACAGGTTGCATGGAGGAATTTTCCTCTTCCTTTTATCTATAAGATGGGTGTCACCAATCAAAATTAAGCAGTCTCCAAGTTAAGGCAAATAAGGCAAAATTTTGAGAGTGTTGTAATTCTTTGGAACTCTTCCTCAAAGCAGAGAGTAAGAATATTTTTCAGGGCAAGCGGATAAATTCTCAGTAAGACATGGAATGTGGAGTTGAAATTACAATCAGATCAGGAACGATTTTATTGACTGGTGCAACAGCCTCAAAAAGGGCAGAACTGTTTGTTGACACCATCCAGACAAAACAGTCCACTTGACTGGCATCCCATCCAGCACTCACTCCCGCTCCCACAAACACACAGTGGCAGCAGTGCAAGTACCATTTGAAAAATCCACTGCAGCCTCAACAAGGTTCTTTGACAGCATATTCCAAACTTTTTTTTTTAAAATCACCTAAAAGAACAAGGGCAGTAAATGCCTGAGAACACCATCACCTGTAGGTTCCCCTCCAAGTCTCACACTATGCAGACTTGAAAATATATCACTGTTTCTTCACTATCACTTGGATCAAAATTGTGGAAACCTCTTCCTCTCAGAACTGCGGATGTATCCTACTCCCAGACTGCAGTTGCTCAAGGCAGTGGCTTAGCATCGACTTCTCAAGCTTCGTGATGGACAATAAATGCTAGTTTTCTCAACAAGGCCCACATTCCACAGAAGAAATAAAAACCCTACCAAGAGAGCCTTAAAAATGATATTTTTTCTATCTTGTCTATTAAACATCATTTGAATATCAAGCTTCATTTATTTCATCTGCACAATGACTGCTACGGTTAGTTTCAAATGCAGAACTGTGAATGGTTTGGGTTTGGCAATGAAGTAATTTAGCAAGACAGAATGGGCGTGTAATACAGCCATACTTCTCCCTGAAATTCCTATACCAGTTAACAAAAATTAGACAGTGAGATGCATTACATTTTATCACCTAGTAGCTGGAAAAGACATACACTTGAGAGTCACTTCTCTACTCAACCTTAAAAAGGGAAGAAATTAATTAACACATTAATCAAAAATGATACGAACCTCTCCCAAAGGCTTGAGTGTCACAATATTGTATGTGGCTGGATCACGCTCCACTAAACAAGTTTCTGTAAGCGCTAGTACTCTCTTTACAGGATCCTAGAAAAAATTTAGACAGAAATGAAACAACATTTCCCATCTGTGCAAACTCAAACGCTACTTAGTAATATTATTAAATCAATAAGATGGAGCGAAGTGATAAAGTCTACCATGTTGAAGGACATGTTTTCCATAAAATACCTGGGGAGGACATTTCTCTGGCAGTTACAAATCAACTTCTCATAACCTTGACATTTAGTAACCACCCCTCAACCTGACCTAAAAATAACTCACCTGATGCCTAGTTGCGATTTTTTGCACAACGAATTCAGCTAGCGATGTAATAGATTCGTCGTTGCTATATTTGCCAAAGCGATGATTCTGGTAAAGATCAAAGTCAAATGGTTCTTTCCGGATGCGTAGTGAGATACCGATAAAGTTGCCTGCATGATCAATCGCACTTTTGATGATCTCTTCTTTTTGTTCAGATGCGAAAAGATGCTGAAATTTCAACAGGAAGCACTGACTGAGAAGGAATCAACTGCACTGCGAATGTAACCTCAGCACTCATGCAATGGGAGCAACAACTTTAAATTCTGTTGCCCCCTTAAATGGATAAAAAACATCCCAAGATGCTTCCTAAGTGTTCCGATTAAATTTGACACCAGACTATAAAAGATAATAAAGAAGGACAGGTAACCAAAGGTTTGGTCAAAGGACGTTCTAAAGAGTAACTTTAAAAAGGAAGAGATGGTACAGACCCTGTTAAATTTAGGGGCAGAACTCTATTTTTGGCCTAGATAGCTAAAGATTCGGTCACCAATGGCAAAGTAAAACAGATTTAATGAGAGACAAAAAAGTGGAGAATACTAGGACTTACATTACAAAGGTAGAGGAGATCAAGACCATTCAGGGATTTGAAAACAAGGATGAGTGTTTTATATTTGAGGTCCCCACCCCATCCCTGTAATCCTACATATTCCATGGCCAATATCCATTTAACCTGCACATCTTTGGACTGTGGGAGGAAATCGGAGCACCCAGAGGAAACCCACACAAACGGAGGGAGAACGTGCAAGTTCCACACAGACAGTCGTCGAAGGGTGGAATCAAACAGGGTCCCTGGTGCTGTGAGGCAGCAGTGCTAACCACTGAGCCACCATGCTGCCCCAGTTCTGTGGATTTCACAGATAAAAGACCAAGGCATGAGGGGAGATAGGAGAGAGACTACAGAAAGGCAAGAATTCAGAAGCAGGGCAAAACTCCTTGGGTTCAGTAATGCAGGTAAACGGAGGAATGCAGAGGCAGTTGAAGAGACAAATTACAATCATGAAGTTCACAAGTTCGTTATGTTGCAGTACGTGGAAGGTTATGACAGTGGTTAGTGAGAAAGAGAAGATGGAGATGATAGCTACATTTCAAGGTTACGTGGAGTAGTCAGCAGTTCTATAAAAAGGGATTTAAAGATCTGTGTGGCCCAGCCAGGTCTGGCAATGAATAGCGAAACCAATCATCCAACATAATGAATAAGCAAAAGTCCTTTGGATTCAAAGACATGGAGACAGAGTAATAGCAGGTGGAACAACCAGGATGGGTGAGATTAAAATATAACAGGACAAAAGCAAAGGTGGACGCTAGGGCACTATCAGCAGCTATGGATGTATTGAGTTTCATGGTGACAAGAATAAAAAAATCAAGAATGTGAACATACTTAAGTAACTTAGGGGAAAGAACAGTTTCTAGGTGAGAGACGGGAGAAAGTGGGGCTGGGGGGTGAAAAAGATTACATGGAAAGAGATACAAGAAAGCAATCAGATATGGCCTGATCTGAGATTGGATATTTAGAGATTACAATAGATGGCAAAAATCAAAAACGGGTGGCTGTGACTGCAAGCAGATTAATTTACTAGGGACAGACAGGTGAAAAGAGGACAGAATTAACTCAGCAGAGAAGGGGGAAGGATGATTTGAGATTGCAGTTGAAATCAGAGAATGAAAAAAAAAAGTGGAAAAAAACTATACAGTTTGAAAATTAAAAGGAAAAGATGTTCAAATTGTCAACATATTATCAGACATGTACAGTTTGCATTTCCTGGAAAAAAAAATGTTTCAACATTAATCCATGTCTTCAAAAACATTAGAATAAGCATAGATGCCAGAAAGGAAACAACTTTATTGAAAATAATCAAATTAAAAAAGGAAATACTCACCAATCGACTAAATCCTCCATGAATTACACAAAATCCTCCTTGATAATCAGACAGTTCTGCAAAGCCTTCAATATTTTTATAGTCATAGGAACAAAGAATTCGATTAGTTGCAGGATCAATCTGATCTATCCCACCAGGTGTAACTTCAAGGACCACTGACTTTCTAGTATCAGTCCAATGATGCTTGTAACAGTGATAGCGCTAAAAAGAGGAGGATAAAATAAATCTAAGCAGAATTGTCTCATAACACCTGGTTCTGAATGACTTCTAACAGATTTTCTTTCAAAATCTAACCCCTAAAAACTTTTGCACTAAAATATAGATTTGAATTATCGAATGCTAGGTTTGCACTTTCACAAGTTAATCACTTAACAAATCAGGATTGCATGCCAGGAGATTGTTACGTTGACATCAAGTTATGAAAAACTGACATGAAACTATTAGAATAGTCACTTATAATTGTACTGAGAAAGAATTTTGTGCAATAAATGGAACTTGTTTCTATTTGCTGTCCCTTCTAACCATTCCCTAATCTGGTTAATGGTTAGATAGCTTACACACTGATCCAACAAACCTATTTATAATAGGTAAGAATACATTAAAGATCCAGGTAGGACCCTTAAACTCTCAAGTCTGACTCACTCCATTCAGGCCTATCTAAAAACAGATTACATGTATGCAAAGTACAGAATGTAGTAAAATTATAACTAGCATAAACAAAGTGAAATAGCATATGTTCAATGCATTGGACATGTACCTGAAGGTTGTGCAGCTTCATACCACTGATAACACACCAGTAACATGTACTTAGTTTTATTTGCTCAGAATCAAAACACCAATTTGTAAGCAACTTGCAGTGTGGAATTAGTCTAGGCAGCAACTAAACATCAATATGAATGGAGATATAACCATCCAGTCTATTAACCTTGTCAGCTTGAGCCAGACTAAGATCCAGTCATAAACTGAAAGAAGTACTTGCAATACGCTGCATTTCCTAAGCAAAAGTAACATCAGTGCATTGTACAGGACAAAAATGTTGAAGACCAGGCCAGGATATGGAGAAGGGAGACACAAATGGCAATAGAGGGAGGAGATAGCTTATGGCAGTCAAGTCATTTTGGATGCTAGAGATACAGCATATTTCCAATATTTTCTGCTATTGTTTGCTCTGATACAAGATTGGTAAAGTATTTTAACAAATTGTTTCATTGCTCGTCTTTGCACAAGGTAATTCACAAAATATGTAACACAAAAACCACCTAAATTTAATGATGTCTAGAAAGCGCTGGAGAAACTCAGCAGCATCTGTTGAAAGATAGACAATGTTAATGTTGAGAATACAACTTCAGAACCCAGGTTAATTTTACATAAATGGTTAAGTTTATATTTGGCTTAATCAGAGGAAAGATCTGATAACTTAAAGCAACACCTGGAATTTTCAGAAACAAGAACCATGATTTGAAAGGATATCATATTGGCGATGATATTTTACAATGACACTCAGTTATATTCATAGCAAGTTAAGAGTGCTGAACATGTATGGCAACTGACCTTTCCAGTGATTTTCCCCTCTGAAAACTCAGTTCTGAAGCGCTGAGAGATGAAAATGAAGGGCATAAGTTATTTAGCACAAGAAATGTAGACTGCAATTACTTTTACACCATTATTAAATAAAAAAATCTGCAGCAAACAGCATTCCATAGTTAACATTTACATTTTTTCTGCGAGTTTACCAAGTGAGCAACAAGACAGATCCCAACTTTTATCACCAGATCTGGCAGTGTTCGTGGTGACAGAAACAGAATTAATGTTTCAGGTCTACACAAAGTAGTCAGTCAATCTGAAAAGTTAACCCGGCTGTCTTCTCCATTGATCCACCAGATCCGAGTACTGCATAATTGTCTGTTTTTATTTCCAATTTTCAGCATCTGCAACATTTTGCTTTTGTCCCAAGTGTGACCTTTGGTCAGTGTCAAATAAGCTGACCAGTGACTGGATACGGAAATTGGCTTTAGCATGTGTCACGGCAAGATTAAAGAACAAAGCATTCCTATTCCTGATCACTCTTCCGGTGACCTCTCCTCGGAGTGCACATTTATGGATCAAGAGTAAAACAAGGATGTTTTGACATTGAGGAGATAGTTGCTGGCATTCTAGCCACTTTCGTAAGATGAGGTGGAACTGCAGACCTGTCTCTTCTATTTAATATTTGTGTTTTTAGTAAAATTATGTACTAATATTCTTCCATTTCTTAAAAAGTGGATAAAATAGTTCCTCCTGGGGAATTCCGTGCAATGGAATTCTCTTTCACAAATAGTGAAAACGGTTGAGGCCAAAACATTGAATGTTTTCAGGGAGTTATAATTCTTGGGGTTAAGGGGATCAAACAGCATGGGGGCGAAAGCAGGAACAGGGTAATGAGTAGGATGATGAGCCATGAATCATATTGAATGGTAAAGCAGGCTCAAACAGCCAATTGGCCTATTCTTGTACCTATATGCTTCCTGTTTTCCCTCATTTAACTTAGAAGTAGAACATTATGAAACAGCATGGTATTTACTAGGACTCAGTTCCAAATAAACTTCAGTCAGGCAATAAAAAGTTTGATAATAACCAACTTGAAACCTGTGTGAAGTGACCACCATTCCCCATTAGTGAATGCGTAGTCAAACCAAGTTCATAGAATCATAGAATCCCTACAGTGTGGAAATAGGCCAAAAAGTCCACACCGACTCTCCAAAGAGAATCCAGCCCCTACCCTATCCCTATCCCTATAATCTTACATTTCCCATGGCTAATCCACCTAACCTACACTATGGGTAATTTAGCAAGGCCAATTCACCTAACTTGCACATTTTTGGACTGTGGGATGAAACCAGAGCACCTGAAGAAAACCCATGCAGACATGGGGAGAATGGGCACTCTACACACACAGACAGTTGCCGGAGACTGAATTTGAACTTGGGTCCCTAGTTAAGGGTCGAGGCCCGAAACATCAGCCTTCTTGCTCCTCTGATGCTGCTTGGCCTGCTGTGTTCATCCAGCTCCACACCTTGTTATCAAGGATTCTCCAGCATCTGCAGTTCCTACTATGTCCTCAACTAACATCCTTGCCTGGTCTGGTCTACATGTGCTTCCAGACCCACAGCAATGTGGTTGACTCATTTCCATTAGGTATTAGGACAACAAATGCTGGCCAAGCCAGCAATGCCCACAACCCATGAATGAATAAGTTTTAAAAAATTACAAAAACCGATAAAGATCTACACTGCTGTCTGATCCAGTGAATCTGCACAGTTGATGCTTTTGCTGTTTAAATTTTACAATGTTTAAAAGGCACCTGGATGGGTAAATGAATAGGAAGGGTTGAGGGATATTGGCCAAATGCTAGCAAATGAAATTGGATGGATTTAGGATATCTGGTTGGCACAGACAAGTTGGACCAAGGGTCCGCTTCCATGCTGTATATCTCTATGACACTGACTCTATAAGCCAGATTTTTAAAAAAAACCTGATCAGACATTTTAAAACTGTTAAACAAAAGGCTAGAAGTTGCTGTATATGTCTGGCTGAGTAGCACGAGAGATTTTTGTATTGATATGGAATAACAGCAATCCACTGTTCTTCTGTACAAGTAAAAGAAAAAAAAAAGTGGTTTCATCAACATAAGTTATACAAAAAAAGTGCCTTGAGACAAGAGAGCAAAGGCTTGTAACAAAATTTGCACCATCATGACCCAGATGGGAATCTATCCAGAAAGACTAGCTAAAAGTTTTAAATAGATGCGTGGATCCCAAATAAAAAGCAGCCTCTTCTCCCAATTGCTGCAAGTACAAATTATATAATCACCTCCTTTGAACCCTTTTTATTCCTTGACCAACACTCCTTTTAAACTTCCAAAAGTGAGGCTGGGGTTAATGTCCCATACCAAGCTCCAAGAAAACTGCTACAGATTTGTCCACACAATGACCAAATGAATGCACTGTTAGTTACTAACAAAATACAGTTAAGAAAATGTTGCCCAGACAAAACTGCTCATTGGTTACAAGAAGCATTTCACAAGTTACACAAGCACCGAATTTGACTTTTATTAGTCTGCATCCACTGGTCCATGTTGTCGGTTACGGGTTAATTCTGAAATAACACCCAGGGTTCTTCTTTTCTATTTGGCACATTACAAACATGTAAAATCACCTGCCTGCTCTAATAATTTGTCCTCAAGTTGCCTCAGGGAAGGCATAATTATTACACGTAAAGCCATAGGAATCTTCTGAAAAAGCCAAAATGAGATCAACAGGAATTTCACAATTGTTCTAGTGTAGAAAGGGACCATTTAGCCCATATCTGCACCAGCTCTCCAAACGAGCAACAGTGCATGAATTTCAGCATGGGTGCCATGCAAGGTATAAACCCCAATGACCTGCTGATAGAATCAAACAGCATAGTCCTCCAGTTGTTTCTAATAGGGAGCAAACAGATCATTCAACCAGCCCACACTAGCCAAAAAAAAAGATCTCATTAGATGAGACTTGCCATTAGTCAGCACTTGCTGAACAATTCTAAGTGCGCAAATGTCTACACTAACAACCAATTTAACGCAGTTGAACTTGTAACATGGCTCACTTGTGCTTGCTAAAAGCAATGTACAGAATGTATATGGGGTATTGTACCTTTCTTGAATTACACAGGAACTTTACAGCCTACAGTTCCTTGTCACCTTTTCCATAGAGTCCATTATCAACTACTTATAAAAAGTGACAGGTCATTTGAAATTTGGCATCCTTGCACCTGTACTTACAAGCAAAAGACAAAATGCTACAGCAACATGTCACTCTCTTCAGTATTTTGTAATTAGTTCTGAAGCTTCAGAACAACTTACCAGTGCCTCTGTCAGCAACTCTGTTCTATGCTCAGTAGAAAATTTCAGGGTTTCAGATTTTTTCCCACTTCCTTTGCGAAAAGTTAAAGTGAATTCTGTTCCTTGTCCTTTCCCCACAGGGCCAATGCTGCAAATATCACCATAAGGCCACTACAAAAGGAAAAGAATTTACTGGAATTATGAAACATTTGAGTTTAGGTTGTATTTTGAAGTTGCCCTTATACTTAAACTCTCACATATAAAAAGCCTTATTGGGTTATGACATTTGTAAATGCAAGTTCAGCTGCTATTGGGTTTCCATGGAATTAAGTGATTTGTAAGGAAAGGGTTCTTTTATTTTTTCCAGAGTTTGCCTGTTGAAGAACAAAAATAAAAGGTTTGTTGTATTTTGGATAAATGCAATTTCACCAAGTTTTATTTAAGCAATGGAAATTAAAGAAATACTACACAAAATTGTGACACAAACAATGCTGGAGACCTCAATATATCCTGCAGCATTCATGAAAAAAAAAAACAGAATTAGGGTGGGGTCCTGAAGAAAATATGTGTCATGCTGGACTCCACGCTAATTCCTGTTTCTCTTTCCACAGATGCTGCCAGACCTGCCAAGTTTCTCCAGCATCGTGTTTATTTCAAATTTCCAGCATCCGCAATATTTTTCTTTTAGTTTACAAGGCAGAACAGTCTTTGGTTGGTAAGAAATTATGAAGCAGCCTCAATCAGACGCCTTCCTGAAAAACACCATTGATCTGAAAATTTCAAGAGTGTCAAATTAGGGGAGTATATCTGTGTCCTTGCACCATAATTGGTGTGGAATGACAAGTGTAGATTGGGCAGAATGGAGTAGTATTAAAATTCTCAAGTAAGTAGAAAGAGTTAGAAAGGACATTGCAATTTGAGACAGCCCAAAAAGCCTTGAAGCTCTCAAGCTTGAGAATTCTAATGCATCTTAATACTCCAGTAAACTCTTCAAGTATAGCCATAGTTATACTCAAGTAAATTGTCAAGACTAATTATCATCATTTTTAAAGAAGACTTGTCAATAGATGCTCTCAAACATTTATTTTAAGCAACTTATAAACTAATGTTTAAGGACAATAATCCAGAAGGAATGGTTTCTGCTCCAATCGTTGCTTAAATTTGCAGGCTAGCTTCCACAGGAAAAATATCTACCTGCACCTTTGTAACTACAACCTGGTACAAACGATGGCCAAGGCCAACAGCTAGAAGCAATTTCACAATCGTCCCAAAGCACGTTTAAAAAAAAAGCCAGAATCCCAAAGTAAATTTAAAAATTTCGTTGATGCAAAACACAAACACGAAGCAAAACTTTCACGGAACTAGCAAGCGTCCAAGGGGGTGGGGAAATGTATTAAATAGCAAAGAAAAAGCTGCAAGTGAAGGTAACCAGGGAGACCATAATTTACACACTTTCTGCAATAGATTTCCTGAACAAATTTTAATTCCAAACTACTAGATTTCATTGTATACAAAACAAAAATGTTAGATATCTAAGTTGCAGCACAGAAACAGGCAGTTGGCTTCAAACAAATAGATGTGGCACAAAAATGACTAATTACCTGATTGGTAACTTCTAGAGTACCAGGATTGTATGTGGTTACAGCATGTGTACCAACTGAAAAGACTCGCTTATATCTAAAAAGGAAAAAAGGGCACATGGACAATTCAATTTCAGTACATGATGGTCAATATCCTTCATATAAACACTTCTGAACATGTTGTTTGGCTTAACTTTAACAGTACCTTAAATAGTGCCGGGCTGTCACAGTACTATTGTTTAAAATAAAATGTTTAATTGATTTAATAATTAAATTTAAGTGAGAACCCGAAGTGGAAGAAATAAAATCATTCCTATGTAGCAAAAGAAGCAAGTTGCACAAATTCAAATAACAGAATGCAAGTCCTGAAAATCTAAGAAAATCCTTCAAGCATCAGGGTAATCAGCAGCTAACGGCCAACTGTTATTTCAGGTCAGATCCTTTACTCAACATAATATCTTGCATTTCAAAATTATTAAGTCTTCCAAATAAGCTCATTCAAAAACTAAATAGAACCTTCTCTACTGTATTTATATCATTTTCATAACAGCGACACCAGACCTGTTTATTGTGTGATCTAGCTATGTTCAATAGAAGCTTAACATAACTGTTCTGCTTTTCAAATCTTCCAGAAATGAAATTTTAAAAAATATACTGGCAAATAAGGCCATTATCAGGTTAATATTACTTGTAAGATTAAGCGACTACCAAATGGATCTTTGATCACACGTACAATTTATGAATTCAAGGTGCACTCTGGAGGGAAGAGCACAATTTGAACAACGGGGCTGATCTGCCTCCAAAGATAGATATAAAAGGGTCCCCATTTCAATACTGCCAGTAACTAGGGAGTTCAAAACACCATTTCCTGACTAATACTTATTCCAGAGCTACTCATAATAGAATATCTAGTCATTTGCAATTATATAGCCTTTTTATTCCCCCTAATGAAATATGAAAGTAAATATGCAAAAACATTATTCCACAAAGTATACAAACAGACAGCCAAACACCTTGCATAATGTAACTCAAAAATACTATGTAAATGATGGAGGACGTAATGAACAGAACTTGACCACAAAATGCAGAGACCTTTCATTTTTAATTCTAAAATAAGAATTCAGAATTCAATTCAGTTATGGTAATCCTTTTACACTATTAAAATTGCCTGTAACTAAATTATAAATTAGGATTGTTTTATTTCTATTGCCAGAATTCTGCACTTGATGCCATGATGTCAGACATACTTAAACCTAGCCAACCTAATAAATGTACATCAGACATCCATACTGAAATTCAGTTAATTATACATAGATCATAATGCGAAAGGTTATGACAAAAACCCACAACTTGGTGTCATCCAAAAATTGAGACTGTACTTCTGATTTCAGATTTCAATCTATTTATAAATGAACAATGGTCTCAACACTGATCCCTATAAAGCACATCATATTTAAATTGGCAAAACATACTTGCTGTCGATCCTTACAGTTTTCTGTGCTGTAACCAGTTTGCTATCCAGTCTGTTACTTGTCACAGCACCAGATTACTACCCAAAATATTTGAGACCAAACAGTTTACATCGATATGATATTTCATCTTCTTCAAGAAGTTGAAGCATGACTTCCCCTTTCGACATTTGTGAATATTGGGAATATTCAGAAAGATAGAGTCTTTATAGATCACTGACTAAAGAAGAAAGCATCAGAAGATTGCACCCATTGGAGTTCTGCGGGATTGAAAACAATAGGAAAGAGAAAGTTGGACAAAACCATGGATGGATTTTAAAGCAAGGATGATAAGTTTAAAATCGAGCCCTTGCTGGACTGGGAGTCTATGCAAGTCAGTGAACAGTGTGATGAGTGAATGGTACAAGTAAAAGCACGGCTAGAAGAGTTGCGGACAACCTCAGTTTATAAAAGATAGCATGTAGGTCGTCGACTAGTAAGAGACAGTTGAGTCTACAGGTAACAAGCAGGATTCATAAGCAAGAATAGAGGAGTGTGTCTAACTGGATTTTTTTTCCCCCCCAGAGAGCTAGCACATGCATAATGGGTACACTGCCCATCCTTTATGCTGCACATATAGGAAAATATGGAATGCAACTTCTGTGCCTTTGCTAGGTTTTACTTCCATAGGCAACTATTTAGATATTAGATTGAACTTAATATTGGTTCACTATTTTACTACAGAGTTGCCAAGCACACACAAATTCCTGCATTGGATAATGAAACAAACTCCATTATCTTCCTTGCCTAAAGATTACAGAATCACAGAATGCCTAGTGTGGAAGCAGGCCATTCAGCCCATCGAGCCCACACCTACCCTCTGAAGAGCATCCCTCCCAGACCTTCCCCCTACCCTACCCTGTAAACTCGCATTTCCCATTGCTAACCCACCTAACCTGCACATCCCTGGACACTATGGGGCAACTTACCATGGGTAATCCACCTAACTTGCACATCTTTGTTCATATACTCCGCTCCAATGCCATTCCATTGGTTTGTACAGCTCGTCTTACTAGGAACAGTGAAATCTGCCAAGCCATTAAGGCAGTCAGGGGTTGAATTTACAAGTACTGTAGTTTACATAATGAAGACAACTTCAACTAGTCTGTGGAACAGATTCAATAATGATACATTATAGAAGGATGTGATAAAGACACTTCTAATAAGCAAATGGAATTGACTGTGCTTGTCCTGAACACTTCTTGTTAAATGCCATGAAAATCCATTGTTGTGTTCACTATTGTTGAAACAAATTCAAATCAAGGAATCTATGAAAAGTCAGAGATTCTCAATGAATAGATATTGTCATGCCCAGTGCCATTTTGTGAAATTTCAATATATGTAAAAAACTTTAAAAGAAATAAGCTAAAAAATAACTGCCACAAATCATCTAACCTTGGGTATTTGACAGTACCATGTCTCAGCCAAGTACTTAATTAAATATGGACTTTGACAGCCATCCAGGGAACTTGCAAGGATGGGAAAATGTAAAACGATAGAAGAACTTCCAAGCGTCTGTTTCAGATTGGACAAAAGGGAAACTCATGGAAGTGAACGGCTACTATCAACCACTTTCAACCCTCATCACACGATGCAATCAAAAATGAACATTTAAAAAAACAAATAACAACTTTATTTGGTAAAATAAATTGAACTTGTGAAAAAGGAGGCAACTATTCTTCATCATTTATTTAAACAATTACACAGAAGCAGTTTTCAGGCAGTCCACCAAAATCAAACTTTCAACTCAATCTGTCTGTGAAGCAGATCTGTAATAGGATAAGACACATTAGGCAGTCAAACTACGTAACACGCTTCTAAAATTGACTCGAGAACTGAATTCCCAACTATTCAAGGACAAGAAACTTTAAGCTGCTAAATCTTTTGCTTTACAAGTTGCTCACTTCAACTTGCATCATTAAACGATTCAAGGGGCCAGGCCCTCCATGTGGGAGATCAGAAATTGTAAACCAGAGACGGAGATAACTATAATCCATAAAAGTGCTTCACCTCATCTATTTAAGCTGTGAGCATATATGAGAAACATTGCTCTTAATTAAAACTTTTTAAAATCATGCTGCTGAATGGTGTAATTAGGTCACCCACTCAAAACAAAAAAAAGTGTATGGAAAGGCAACCTTTTTCCATTCAAAAAGATACTGATCACCAGTCTGTTAAGGCTGCCCATGACTGAGTAGCACAAAATGGCTGATTGTTGCCCATGGCTAATGCAGAACATGGCTGACAGTCATTAAGAGCGCTTGGGAAAACATTTGCTTAAAGTAGTCTTCACAAGTAGTAAAAATAGCAGGTCTGTATAATCAAGGCTACTGGCCAAGACAATATGCAGCTGCAGTTACTTACACAGGTAAGAACGTTTTACACTAATTGATTAAATAATTCAAGACAAGCAATTAAACACTGACCTCTACATCGCCGAGGCCGGACGCCAACTCTCCGACACCACCTCCTACCGCCTCCTTGATCATGACCCCACCCCTGAGCACCAAACCATCATCTCGCAAACCATCCACAACCTCATCACCTCAGGTGACCTCCCACCCACGGCCTCCAACCTCATCGTTCCCCAACCTCGCACTGCCCGCTTCTATCTCCTTCCCAAAATCCACAAACCTGAATGCCCTGGTCGACCCATTGTCTCCGCCTGCTCCTGCCCCACCGAACTGATCTCCAACTATCTAGACTCCATTTTCTCCCCCTTGGTCCAGGAACTCCCTACCTATGTCCGTGACACCACCCACGCCCTCCACCTCCTCCAGAACTTCCAATTCCCCGGTCCCCAACACCTCATCTTTACCATGGATGTCCAGTCCCTCTACACCTGCATTCCCCATGCAGATGGCCTTAAGGCCCTCCGCTTCTTCCTGTCCCGCAGGCCCGACCAGTCCCCCTCCACTGATACCCTCATCCGCTTAGCCGAACTCGTCCTCACACTCAACAACTTCTCTTTCAATTCCTCCCACTTCCTACAGACAAAGGGGGT